GATAGACAACGTTTAGCATTATTTGTGTTATCTTTGGTATTTTAAGTTTTAGTCTTGTGGTGTGCTTTGTCAATGACATAGTTTGACATTGTTTTGTTTTTCCGAGAACTAAATTGAATACCTTTTAGGTATGATAGACTTTACGCATTTTGCTTCAACTCTCTTAGATGATTTTGACTTGTTAATCGCCTAACACTTCATCTAGTTGTCTTGACTTAGTTGTTTATCTGTTTCCTAAAATTCTAAGTGTTTTCCTAAGGTTTTTTTTATGTTGGGGATTTTGATTCTAAGTCTTATGTTTTCATCCAATGTTGTTTTCATATTACTATTATGTTTAATATTATTTGATTAAACTTCAAAACATAAGAGTGTTTAGGCACATAGACGATTTTGTCTTAACCACACAAAATTGTTTTCTCTTACGGTCACTTCACATTAAATAAATGAATGTTGAATTCTCTACTACATGTATGATCATCAACAATTCTCCTGAGCTGCCATGTTTCCACTACATGCATATAAACATAATATGTAGACCACGAGCATTTTCCTTTTGCACCTATACATTTCAACCTCAATCTTCTTTTATCATTTTTAACAAGTTTTAAATTTCTCTTATTTGTCAATGCATAGGTTTTTATAACTTCTAAAAATTCTTTTCTCTTAATAAAATAGGTCTACACTTTCCATTTATAATCACTCATACTTTTCGGTATAGAAAATGTTACAAACCTTTCCTAACCCTTTTTCCTATTTCAATTTTTAGAGAAAAAAACATACAAAATAAATATTTTTGAAATAAAAAATATGACAAAAATTATTAGAAATAAAAGAACATAAAGCATATTTTAAAATAAATTGAATTAAACTTGTATTATTGAACCCAATTATATAAAATAAAGTATGTATTTTTAAAATATTAAAATTTAAATTTATATATTTTGAAAATTCATAATAAAGTCAATTATTTTTAGAGACAATAGGGAAAATAAATATTTCTAGAATCCAAAAAATAAAACAAAATTATTATAAATTGTAGAAATAGAACATATTTGGAAATAGATATATTTAAGTAGAAAAAATATCATTCAACCCAAATAAAATAAAATTTGTTATAACTGTTTTAAAATATTGGAATAAAAAAAATTAAGATATCTTGAGAATTTTTGGTAGAATCTATTTTTTTAATAGAGAAAAATACAAAACAAACATATTTAGAATAAAATAAATAAGTAAATTATTAGCGAAAGAAGAAAATAAAACATATTTGGAAAAACAAAACTTATTTAAGTAAAATTTATTTTGTTTAGGTCAAAACAAAACAAACAGGAAAAAAAATAGCTAAACCCTAATTGTCCATGTGGTCTCGTGGTATAAATAACGAAGACAACACCAACAAATCTTAACCTCCTAATCTACAATTGCATTTCCATGGTGCCGCCATAGTACTTTTTTTTTCTCTGTAGTTCCATTTGACTCTATTGGGTTTTGGCAGTGATTGATAACATAATGCACCATGTAGCCCTTTGCATTTCCAAGTTTAGATGCAAGGAAATTACGGGATAAGGTTTTTCAGGTGCAACATTTATCCACGGCAATTAAAATTCATGGTTTTGGGTGTTCTGTTTTTCGCCCAGTTTGCATTGTTTTGCCAAATAGTTTATCTGTTACATTGATTTGTTCAATTGAATGAGCGAAGCAAAATGATGAAGTCAAAACTTGTCTGATACTGGCATGAGGATATATTGTTTCATAAGGTCTTCAAAGTTCTCTGATTGCTTTGCTCTGTATTGTTGTAATTTGATTGTTTGGTTCGATGGGTGTGACAATTAGGGTTTCATGTTGTTTGTATTTGATGGATAGCACTTCGTACTTGTCAAAGATCTTTTGGTTTTAGTAGTATATCATACGAAGATTTTTATTTACTTTGTTGATGCTACGTATTCTGATTTGGTTTTAGTTAGTATTTCTGTTAGAAGTAGAGAAGGGGAAAAATGAACTGTAAAAGGCTAGCAAAGTGATGAGGTTTTAATATCTGAATATTATGTGGAATCATCATTCATAATGGTCTTCAAAGTTCTCTGATTGCTATGCCTTTGTTGTCATTCACAATTGTGTTTCTTATTTTAATTGATGGTTTATTTTTCCTTTTATGATGATGATGTGAAGAAAATAGTGATCAAATTCTAATGGGAGTAATCCGTGATGTATCACCAGTCACACTACATTCCCCTTCTCTTCTTTTGAAATATACCTTAAGACTTTGCATTTTGTCATCCTTTTTTTCATCCTTTTACCCATGAACATCTTGATGTTTTTAGGAAATTTAATCAAGTTAGATGTTAATCTGACAAAATGTACATTTTAAGTCTTGCACTATTGCCTTGATAAATGTGTTTGTATAGAAGTAAATGTGTGTGATTGAACGTTGGCATATTGTCATCTCATCACCTGATAGTGATTCTAAGTGCTGAGGAAATGAAGGAGTTGAACACAAGCACCAAAATTCTTAATCTGATGTGCAATAATCTGTCAGATTATACGAGCATGGTGCAAAAAAAATTATTTTTCCCTGGGTTTTTGTTTTGCTTTATTTGTCGTTATAATGACTTGTGAAGTATAACTGGGGAAGGACATGTGGGATTGCAATTCAGTCTTCTAATTGTCATTGGACTTGTATCTAAGTGTGTCTACAACATCACTAGGAAGCTACATTCTAGTTATGTTTATCGCCAACACTCAAATATCTTGTTCAAAAAACATAACAAGCAATATCTTGGAGCTGGTTTGAGTTAGTATGTCTAGTTGTAGATGGATTAACTGTGTAGGAGGGAAATTTTTTACTTTATTCAGCCATTGGATTGATATGATGGTCTGGATTTTGTCTCTTGTTTAAGAAGTTGCTTTAAGTTAGTATTTTTTAAGTTCATACATTTTTTATACTAAAATTATTTAAAGAATTATTGTGTGGGTAGATGAATTAATGCAGATTTATTTTAACTTATTCAGTAATCCGAGTATTATTTATACACTATTGTCATTTCTTTAAAAATTTATTAGGAACATTTGTTAATGGTTGGAAGTTTTGAATGTTTTAAAACAATCAGTAAGTTTGACATTTTCTTTGTATTTTGTATGTAGTTGAAGTCACCACGTAGGTTTATGAGTCCTTTTGATAAGGCTAGATGGATTCATAAGTTGAACTAATGTGATCTGCATTTTATGAATGGGGGAAACAGTTTGACTGGCTTGTATTTTTTGAACTGAAAATACTTCATGACAATTTCCTAAAACTTTGTTGTTAAGAGTTCTTCAATTTGGATCAATTTTACTAGTTGAGATGGCAGCAAGGACGTTAGATGAGTCAAACTAATTAGATTACTCAAAGTGAAGCATCATACGAAACAAGAACTAAAATGTCAAACAATGGTAAAACTAAGCACTAGAGTAAACTGAAGAGTAGACTCGATGAGATTTAAAATGAAATGCATGCCAGACTAGGAATAAAACGAGTTCTAAAAGAAGAAATCAGTAACAACTATTCTAACCCGGTGTTTAACACAGGGCAAGTGAGAAAACAGCGACTGGTATGGCCATATGGCACGAAACAGTGACTTAAAACATAGATCAAGGACTTTGGAGATTATCATTGGTTTACAATTTATCTAGCAGAATAAACCCGTGAAAAACTAAAATTTAGAAGCAAAATGGACAAAGAAACATTATGTNGCCCTTTTTCCTATTTCAATTTTTAGAGAAAAAAACATACAAAATAAATATTTTTGAAATAAAAAATATGACAAAAATTATTAGAAATAAAAGAACATAAAACATATTTTAAAATAAATTAAATTAAACTTGTATTATTGAACCCAATTATATAAAATAAAGTATGTAATTTTAAAATATTAAAATTTAAATTTATATATTTTGAAAATTCATAATAAAGTCAATTATTTTTAGAGACAATAGGGAAAATAAATATTTCTAGAATCCAAAAAATAAAACAAAATTATTATAAATTGTAGAAATAGAACATATTTGGAAAAAGATATATTTAAGTAGAAAAAATATCATTCAACCCAAATAAAATAAAATTTGTTATAACTGTTTTAAAATATTGGAATAAAAAAAATTAAGATATCTTGAGAATTTTTGGTAGAATCTATTTTTTTAATAGAGAAAAATACAAAACAAACATATTTAGAATAAAATAAATAAGTAAATTATTAGCGAAAGAAGAAAATAAAACATATTTGGAAAAACAAAACTTATTTAAGTAAAATTTATTTTGTTTAGGTCAAAACAAAACAAACAGGAAAAAAAATAGCTAAACCCTAATTGTCCATGTGGTCTCGTGGTATAAATAACGAAGACAACACCAACAAATCTTAACCTCCTAATCTACAATTGCATTTCCATGGTGCCGCCATAGTACTTTTTTTTTCTCTGTAGTTCCATTTGACTCTATTGGGTTTTGGCAGTGATTGATAACATAATGCACCATGTAGCCCTTTGCATTTCCAAGTTTAGATGCAAGGAAATTACGGGATAAGGTTTTTCAGGTGCAACATTTATCCACGGCAATTAAAATTCATGGTTTTGGGTGTTCTGTTTTTCGCCCAGTTTGCATTGTTTTGCCAAATAGTTTATCTGTTACATTGATTTGTTCAATTAAATGAGCGAAGCAAAATGATGAAGTCAAAACTTGTCTGATACTGGCATGAGGATATATTGTTTCATAAGGTCTTCAAAGTTCTCTGATTGCTTTGCTCTGTATTGTTGTAATTTGATTGTTTGGTTCGATGGGTGTGACAATTAGGGTTTCATGTTGTTTGTATTTGATGGATAGCACTTCGTACTTGTCAAAGATCTTTTGGTTTTAGTAGTATATCATACGAAGATTTTTATTTACTTTGTTGATGCTACGTATTCTGATTTGGTTTTAGTTAGTATTTCTGTTAGAAGTAGAGAAGGGGAAAAATGAACTGTAAAAGGCTAGCAAAGTGATGAGGTTTTAATATCTGAATATTATGTGGAATCATCATTCATAATGGTCTTCAAAGTTCTCTGATTGCTATGCCTATGTTGTCATTCACAATTGTGTTTCTTATTTTAATTGATGGTTTATTTTTCCTTTTATGATGATGATGTGAAGAAAATAGTGATCAAATTCAAATGGGAGTAATCCGTGATGTATCACCAGTCACACTACATTCCCCTTCTCTTCTTTTGAAATATACCTTAAGACTTTGCATTTTGTCATCCTTTTTTTCATCCTTTTACCCATGAACATCTTGATGTTTTTAGGAAATTTAATCAAGTTAGATGTTAATCTGACAAAATGTACATTTTAAGTCTTGCACTATTGCCTTGATAAATGTGTTTGTATAGAAGTAAATGTGTGTGATTGAACGTTGGCATATTGTCATCTCATCACCTGATAGTGATTCTAAGTGCTGAGGAAATGAAGGAGTTGAACACAAGCACCAAAATTCTTAATCTGATGTGCAATAATCTGTCAGATTATACGAGCATGGTGCAAAAAAAATTATTTTTCCCTGGGTTTTTGTTTTGCTTTATTTGTCGTTATAATGACTTGTGAAGTATAACTGGGGAAGGACATGTGGGATTGCAATTCAGTCTTCTAATTGTCATTGGACTTGTATCTAAGTGTGTCTACAACATCACTAGGAAGCTACATTCTAGTTATGTTTATCGCCAACACTCAAATATCTTGTTCAAAAAACATAACAAGCAATATCTTGGAGCTGGTTTGAGTTAGTATGTCTAGTTGTAGATGGATTAACTGTGTAGGAGGGAAATTTTTTACTTTATTCAGCCATTGGATTGATATGATGGTCTGGATTTTGTCTCTTGTTTAAGAAGTTGCTTTAAGTTAGTATTTTTTAAGTTCATACATTTTTTATACTAAAATTATTTAAAGAATTATTGTGTGGGTAGATGAATTAATGCAGATTTATTTTAACTTATTCAGTAATCCGAGTATTATTTATACACTATTGTCATTTCTTTAAAAATTTATTAGGAACATTTGTTAATGGTTGGAAGTTTTGAATGTTTTAAAACAATCAGTAAGTTTGACATTTTCTTTGTATTTTGTATGTAGTTGAAGTCACCACGTAGGTTTATGAGTCCTTTTGATAAGGCTAGATGGATTCATAAGTTGAACTAATGTGATCTGCATTTTATGAATGGGGGAAACAGTTTGACTGGCTTGTATTTTTTGAACTGAAAATACTTCATGACAATTTCCTAAAACTTTGTTGTTAAGAGTTCTTCAATTTGGATCAATTTTACTAGTTGAGATGGCAGCAAGGACGTTAGATGAGTCAAACTAATTAGATTACTCAAAGTGAAGCATCATACGAAACAAGAACTAAAATGTCAAACAATGGTAAAACTAAGCACTAGAGTAAACTGAAGAGTAGACTCGATGAGATTTAAAATGAAATGCATGCCAGACTAGGAATAAAACGAGTTCTAAAAGAAGAAATCAGTAACAACTATTCTAACCCGGTGTTTAACACAGGGCAAGTGAGAAAACAGCGACTGGTATGGCCATATGGCACGAAACAGTGACTTAAAACATAGATCAAGGACTTTGGAGATTATCATTGGTTTACAATTTATCTAGCAGAATAAACCCGTGAAAAACTAAAATTTAGAAGCAAAATGGACAAAGAAACATTATATAGAAAATAATTATGAGTTGTGCTTAAACCATTCATATTGAGGCACACATATTGGATTCTAGGTCAAATTGAATCTATTTTGGTCAAAGATTAAGCTAGTTAATTTTGATAGAAGTTTGAATCGAGATCTAGATTGAAGGTCAAATTGAGTTGGTCTTAATTGAGCATATACAAGATGAAAGGAAGTCAAGTAAACCTTGGTTGATGGTTGAGTCGAGCTAACCTCCAAGTTTAATATCGAGTAAGAACAAGCCATGCTTACTTGTGTCGAAGGTTGAGCCATGCTGGCTTGTACCAAAGGTTGTTGATTTGACTTGGTTATATTAGGTTGAGTTGGTTCGGTTTCGGTCCTGGCCAAATGTCAAGCCAAGTTTGCTTGAGTCGAATACCCAGGGTAAGTTCTACAAGTTGAAGGTTAAGCGTTGTTTGCTAAGGGCCATGTGTCGCATGCCAAAGGTCAAGTATTACTTGTTGAAGGTTATGTGTTGTCCATTAAATGTCATGTGTCGCTTGTTAAGGATTATATATTGTCAACCAATACTAGATGTCGTTTGCTGATAGCTAGGTGATGCTTGTTGAAGATAGCTAGGTGATGCCTATTGAGGATTGTGTGCCTCTTACCAAGATCATGTGTTGTCTGCCCAAAGCTAACGGTGATCTATTCGGCCACAAGCCGGTCTTGTAATTACAATGTTTGATTGTTTCTACCCAATCACAACCTAGCCTGTATAACGACCATTACTTGGCCATAAACTGGTTTGTCGGACTAACAAAACTAATGACGTATTACTTTGTAACTTAGGAAAATCTAGATCATACAACTAACACATGAGGTAAATGGGTCACTAGACCCATTTATACGCTGTCGTTGAAGCTATCAAATTAATACTACTTTTTAAGGCAACTTCAGTATTGCCAAATAGTATTCAATAAAGTAGATAGGGTTAAAGTAACCCTGAGTCGTCTCCCAACGAACACGGAATTGCTTTTGAATATCTGACTCTTATGCTATGCAATGCTTATGAATAAAGATGATGTTTGGAGAATGTTTTAAAAACAATTATGATTAAATAGGATAATTCCACTGCTTTTTCGAGATAGATTCGTCATCGGTTATTCACGGATAATTGTTCAATTGATTATTGTTTAAGTTTCAAATTAATTAAAGTACATTCTCAGTTAATTTGAGGGCGATCATGCATTTAACCAAAGTAAATTCTCAATCAAATGCAAAACCTTTCTAGATTATTCACAATAAATTCAATCAAAGTACATTCTCAATCAAATTCTATTGTGTTTAATCATGTCTATTCTTAAATCTCCTAACCAAGTTAAAAGTTAATCAATCAAAGTAAATTCTCAATTGATTATAGTTAAAATTATTACTACCAACCAAAGTACATTCTCAATTGATAATAAAAACCATTTAATCATATGAAAGTT